AAAATGCAGCTGCTGCCTTCATCATTTAGGAGAGTTCAGGGTGTTCCCCTGTCCCATTTGGACACCACCAGGTCGCCAGCTGGGGCATCTACTTGCAAAATGCCACTTCTGCTCGCATTTCTAGGGAGAAAACCTGATTCCAGCCAGATCAGGGGACTGCAAACCCTCTTATCTGGAGAGCAGAATTTTGCAACAGCGTTCGATTCCCGTCAGTGTGAGGATTCCTGTGTCCCTTTGTGGAAAAGCAAACCCTGGATAACAACACCCAGTGGCTCCCAGGGCATCCAGAGCTGCCGTGCCTGCCGTGGGATGTGCGGCTGTGCCGGTGCTGATGAACACAACCGGCAGAGCTCTGCCCACAGCCTTTTAATGCGAGTGACATCAAAGGCAAAGCCCTGCCTGCTGCCGGGGGGGACCCACAATGCAGCTCGATCCAGCAGTGGAGCAGCTCCAGGCCCGCTGGCATCGCTCTGCAGCCAGGCTTCCCTCCATTGTCAGCCCTTGGGGGGGGCACAGCCCTGCATGGCGACACGAGCCCACGCCTGGCTTTAGGGGCTGTCCCCTGGGCTGGCTGCAGCAGGGGGTGACACCTGGGGGGCTCAGGTGGGCGGCAGGGCTCTGAGCATCCCCCGGCAGCTGGAGGGAGATGAGCTCTCAGGATGAGCAGCTCCCAGCAGAGGCAGCAGCCCCCGAGGCAGCGGGCACCGACGAGGGCATGACCTGGTGGTACAGGTGGCTCTGCAGGATTGCCGGGGTCATCGGGGGCGTGTGTGAGTATCCCCTCCCCTCTGCATCCCCTTCCTGCGTGACACAGCTCGTCTCGGGGTCCTGACACCTTTGTGGGTGCAGGGGGGAGGCTGTGCCATGAAGGGTTTTTTTTTTTGGGGGGGTGATGGGTTGGTGCCAGCCCTGTGTTTGGGGCAGAAGGGAGAGCGGTGGCTGTGCCTGGGTTCGGCTCTGTGTGCTCTGTGCTCGCCGAGCCTGCTGAACTTTGGCATCCAGCAGCAGGGACATCACGGGGCAATCTGTGAATGCCCGAGTTTCTCCTTGGATATGGCACTCCCTGGCAGCTGAGCCCCTGGTGCAGGTCAATTAGATGATTTTTCTATGAGCACCAGGCTCAGGGAGGCTCAGGTCAGGGCTGGGAGAGTGGCCACAGGGTTTGGTTTATCCTATTTGACTTTTGGGTGCTTATAACTTGTTTTTTCCCCCCATCCTGACTGGCAGAGCATATTTCCCATTGCTCCTGTTGCTGATTGCAGAAGGCCTGTCCCTGGCTTTTACTGAAGGTGAAGAATGGTTTTGGTTTGTGCTGTGTGTTTTTAAGGGGTTTGGTAGGACACAGAGAACGGAGCTGCAGACGCAGAGTGAGTTGGCTGAGCTCAGAATTACCTGCTGCTGAAAAAAATTTTCCCAGGGAAAGAGTCTCAGCAACTTTGCCAGAAATCAGCCTGTCCTGGAGTGCTGTTTTGCTACATTCTGTGGAGAGATTAATAGCTCTTAAAAGCAGGAGGGACTGTTATGACCGCTTAGTCTGATCTCCTGCAGAGCACAGGATGGAGAATTTCTTCTGCTTCAGGTCCACGACTTCAAGTTAAACAAGAGGGTTTCTCAGCCAGTGCAGTCAGTCCTGATTTATTCCATCAGCTGGAGCTTTGTGTCTGATCACCTTCTCCCCCTGCCCCTTCCCAAGCCTGCCTTTTGCCTTGGCACTGGGCTGCACGACCCCCACGATGTTTTTGGAGCTGACATTTGCACCCTGTGGCATCACTGGGCAGGCTCCTGACATCCCTTTTTTGGCCAGGCTGGTAAAACATGTGCTGCTCTCACCGTTCCATGTGCTAGGTGCTGAAATTCTGGAGGTGTGACAGGATTTGGTGGGACTGCTCTCACACAGGGCTGAACCCCCCCAGCCTCACCGTGCCCTGCCAGAAGCCCCTGCACTCCTGGCCCGGCCAGCAGCCAGGAGAACCAGCTGGGAAATGTCTGTGGAGCAGGTCCCAGGTGGGGGCTCAGAGGAGCAGCATCTTTCCCACGGGCTGTGGCTGTAGCTGGAGCCTCGGCACTTTTGCTGCAGTTTTATCCCGTGCAGAGCTCAGGGTGATGTGGATGGAGGGTGAAGAGCTGGCGGGTCATGCTGGTGCCTCGTGCTACAGCAGCTCCTGAGTGGCTTGAAAGCGCAAATTTCTTCTTTTCCCCTCTCTGTCTTCGTGTTTCAAAGCAGCTGAATTATACTTGGATTATTTTCCCAACCTTTTGTTCACGGCTCTGCGACCTCGTGGCTTGTTTTTACAGGAAAGATGAGAGTTTTATGTCTTTGGGTGAGTCTGGGAGAAGCTTTTGGAAGAAGAGCCAGGTTCTTAACAGGGTTTGCCAAAGATTTGGGGAGTGACAGCTGGCTCTGGAGCCCTGACTGTCTCTTTATCAGGCAGAGAATGAGGCACAAACTCTCCTTATGAAGGGAAAAGGGGGATTGTGGAAAAAACAACCAGTGCCCAGTGCTACCAACATTCCTCTTCAAAATGCTCCTTGTTCAGCATCACCTTGTTGAAGGTGGATGGTTTGGAGAAAAGGTGGTGAATAAACCAGCGAGGCTGGAGTTTGCTGCTGTTCTCAGAGCTCGCTGTGAAAGAACAGAACTAATCTATAAGGATTGTGAGCAACTGGATTGTAATGCTGCTGCAGGGCTGGGTTCTTTCTAACAGAAGGAAAAATTCCCTCAGAAAGGAAGAGAAACTTCATTAGTGGAGGTGAGACCAGCAGACAACATCTGCCACATGCAAACACCTGCAGCCACAGCTTGCTTCAGCCAGAAAAATCCAAGGGCTGGAGCAAGAACCAGACAGACAAGGTTCAGGATCCGTTTCTGGCTCCTGCACACGCTGGCTTGGTGACCTTGGCCAAGTCCCTTCTCTCCCTTGTGTTCCTGTTTGTAATGGGACGAGGAGAGTCTGTGGCTTTTGTACAACGCTCTAGGAGCAAAAATAGACTTGTGTTGAGGACAGTGACCAGCTGCTGGAAATGAATAGAGCCTTTGTAGGGAAGGGTGTCCTTCCCCCCTCATTTTAGCTCCCAGTTATTTGTGCTTCCTCAGGGATTCGAGGTGGGACAGCAGTTAAACAAATGGCAGAACTGTCTGTCTCCCATAGCTTACGTGCCACTGAGCATTATCTGCGTTTTAACCCTGTTGTGAGACCTCTGTTTAAAAGAAAATATTTTAAAAAGAAATCTCTGGCTTGGCAGGGGTGGGACGAGCTCCTGAGGCAGGACAAGGTGGGACAAGGGTGTACCAGGCTGCTCTGGGATGTGCACCTCTGCAAAGGAGACCCAAGGTCACTGAGTTGTTCTGTGCCTCTGTGGCTGTTGGCAGCAGCTCTGGGGGCAGTGCTCCTGTGATCCCAAACCTTTGACTCCTTTCCTGCTGCTCCTGCTGACGTGGGGCTTGCTCAGCTCTGCTTCCTGGGTCATTAGTCCTCTGGCATCCGGGGTGGTTGCTGAGCCAGGACTGCTGCAGGGTTGTTTTAGAGTGTTTGGGGACAAAACCAAACCAGATACCTGGCAAAACAACCCCTGGTTGGTTTGATTAGGAAAAAAAAACTTGCTTGGAAAAGAACATTTTGCTTCCCTTGGTTTGTGGTGTGGTGGAGACCTGCTGGGAAGTGCCCAGCCCTCTGTGCTCTGCTACACTGCTCAGCAAGGCAGGGTCCTGCCCCAACCCTGGCTGTGTTTTTGGGGATAGCTGAGAGGTTTTGCTGCTCTGCTAATTGTAAAGTGCCAGAGAGGTCACTCAGCATTATTGTCAGGAATGTCCTTTCCTGGGGGACAACGAGTGCCACAAGCCTGGGGTTCTTCCCCTGAGCTCCTCTTCCATCTGCATCCAAGGGTTTGGTGGTCACAGGGAATTGGAGCCCCCTGTCCTGTGCCCTGCTCTCCATGCTGCTCACAGCTCCCAGCAGTCCTGTTTGCCATTCTCCTCTTCAGCTGTTTGCATGTGTGATCATCCCAAGCCGGTGCCTCAGTTTCCCCTGCAGGGTGGGGACACTGACACAGTCCCTGTGGGATGGGAGGATCAGAAGTGTCCTTGGAGCACGGATATTAGCACATCCTCTGGCACATCCCCTCTGCTAGCTGATCTTGTTCTTGCAGGACTCTCCAGAAGACTTTGGGTCCTGTGGAATTAGTTTTAGGAAGTGTTAAAAAATAAAGGTTTTTGGTGTTTCCTAAGACCAGGAGGTCGTTTGCTCATGGGATGACCTTCAATCTGTCCTGTCACTGCCTGCAATTCTGCTTCCCAGCCTGGTAAACAAGGATAACTATTTTTAAAGGAACTTTGAGGATTCAGCAGTGACTGCTTAAAAGAAACCTTGCAAGCATGTGCCAGGCTTTTGAAGGTCAGAGCTGCTCGAGCATCCCCTTAGCAGACACCCAAAATCCTCAATCCAGGGCTGGTCCCCTCCTCAGAGAGGGACTCTGCTGCTCTCCATCATCCCCAAGACAGCCTTTAGAGGCTCTAGAACTAATTTGAGCTGGAGTTCTGCAGTGTGAAGTTGTTTACTGAGTGTGTGTCTCCTGCCCTCTCACCTGGGCTCGAGTTCCTGGTGCCAGCTCTGGCACTGGCAGAGGGAAGGGCAGTATCAGGTGCCAGGAACACTCTGCAAGTTTAATGAGGCAGCAAGGAGGTGGATGCAGCTCAGCTCAGTCGCTGCTGCCTGGTTTCTCTCCCTGAGTTACAGAGCACTGGGGTTATTTTGGGCTTTATTCACTTCCTTCTGTATTAATGGAGACCCAAGCTTGGCTCTTTTTTTCTGCCCATCTCTGGTGGAGCTGCACAGACCCAGCAGTGAGTGGCAGGGGCTGGGTTCACCTCTGCTGTATTTATTATTTGCCTGTGTGCAAGTCATGTTTTTGCTGAACTTGCCCTGTGCTGCTCAGAGGTGGAACCTGCTGGCACTGCTTGTCTACCCTGGGACAAAGCAGTGGTCATTCCTTGGCACATAAAATGCAGCTGCACGTCCTGTAGAAGCAAATGTTGTTCTGCACGAGGGAAATCAATGTTGGAACAGCACTCAGAGCAAAAGGACACCAGGGGAGGGCTCTTCCCTGCATTCCAGGCTCCTTTTGGGCCACCAGACCTTTCCACCCACCATGCACTGCCCACAGGTGCTGGCCAAGGGCATACAGGTGATGCCTTGAGGAGCTGGAGCAGAGGTTGCACACAGAGTTAAGGAGAATAAAATGGGTATTTATTGAGAGGCCTCCAAAAGCCACACCCCAGCAATGTCAGTGCCACAGTGGTGGCCCCTGCCTGGATGGCTCCAAGATGGAAGGAAAGGAGGGGGTTGGTCACAAAATCTTACATTTTTATAGGTTCTGGTTAATTTGCATGAACCCACCCTCCACCTTTCCACAGAGTTTGTGCTCAGGACCTGAAGTTTGGAGAAACTGTCCTTGAGTTCTTAACTAGAATAGGAACTGTTCTGTCTTCATCACCTCAGCACATCAGAAAAGCACATCCAAGGAGAACAGGAAAACTTAAAACTAAAGGCATCACAGGGTTGGTCATGGTGGTCACTGAGAGTCTCTTTCTTTGCAGCCTGTGCCTTTGCTGGTCTCTGGAACTGTGTCACCATCAACCCCCTGAACATTGCTGCTGGCGTGTGGATGATGTGAGCAGGGTTTCTTTTCCTTTTCCTGCTGGGAGGGAGGTAATGTTAACCAGAGCCCACTGAGGGGGGCAGAGCTGCCCTGCTTGGGCAGTGGGTGGGAGTGGAACATCCATCAGGCTCTGGGAATTGTCACATCTTGCTCCATCAGGCAGGTCGAGATGTTAATTTTATTCTATTTATATTATTTCTTTACGCATTTTTAGGTATATACTGAGATACCCTTGTCCAAAATAAGTTTAGGGCAGAAGGACTTGGAAATTAAAATTTATCAAGAAGTGATAATTTCACTTCTATAGTCAAGAAGTGGGGGGAGCAGAGCGAGGTCCAATCCTTCCCCTGCATGGAGCATGGAGTGTGTGCAGTCTGTGGGACCGGGGGGGCACTGCTGACCCCCACCCTGGGCGATTCAGAGGCAGGATTAACTCTGGTCTGCTCTCTCTGGAGGCTCAACGCCTTCATCCTGTTCCTGTGCGAGGCTCCTTTCTGCTGCCAGTTCATCGAGTTCGCCAACGCCGTGTCCGCCAGGGCCGACCGGCTGCGGGCGTGGCAGAAAGCAGCGTTCTACTGCGGGTGAGGATGCTCCTGGGGGCTCCCTGGGGCCACATCCCGGGCAAAGAACATCCCTGCAGCCCCCTGGGGAGCGGGCTCTGGCCCTGAGGGCTGTCCCTCTCTTGCAGGATGGCCGTGTTCCCTGTGATGCTCAGCCTGACTCTGACCACGCTCTTCGGCAACGCCATCGCCTTCGCCACCGGCGTGCTCTACGGTCTGTCAGCCCTCGGGAAGAAGTAAGGGACATCCAGCTGCTTGTGGAGGGCAGGGAAAGGGGGAGATGGAGCTCCAGCCTTTGTCCCAAGGCTCTGCTTTCCTCTCGCACAAACCGTGCTGAGGTGTAAATGCAGCCAGAGAAAATCTCCCTCCTCTCAGAGCCCTGCGAGGGAAGGTCCCGGGGGTTGCTGAAGCTCTGAGTTTTGGGAGTTCAGACCAAGTTGTCCTGAGGGTCCCTTTCTTCTTTCTTCTTTCTTCTCTCTTCTCTCTTCTCTCTTCTTCTTTCTTCTCCTTTCTTCTTTCTTCTTTCTTCTCTCTTCTCTCTTCTTCTTTTTGGTGGGTGGGGCAGAGAGCAGCGTTGGAGGTTGGAGAGAGCTGGCAGGTGTGGTGTGTGTGACTCCTGGAATGCCTTGGCACAAGAGCCAGGCCCAGCAGGGACAGTCTGTGCCATCCCCAGTGTGCTGTCCCTTCTCTCCACAGGGGAGATGCCATTTCCTATGCCCGGATCCACCAGCAGCAGAAGCAGATGGATGAAGAGAAGCTCACGGGGAGCCTGGAGGGACAGGCTCTCTGAAGGACACATCAGGGGTAGCATCTCCTGGACACTGAGATGGTGAAGATGTGGAAATCTGCTCTGCCCTTCCCTCTGTGCTCTCCACACCACGATTTCCCTGGATGCTGCAGCAGCTGGAAACCTCAGGGGCTGGGGCAGGCTGTGTCCTCTCCTCACACCAGCAGCCAGACCTCAGCACGTTGCTTCTCCTCGACCCTCATCCCAATATTTCACAGTGCCCCATTTGTTAATTTTTTTTTTCTTTTTGTTGCAGAGGTGCTGGCTCTCTGAGTGCTGCTTTCCCAGCCTTTTGTTTTGTTTTGGTTTGGTTTTTTTGGTTTTGTTTTTTTTTTTTTAGTGCCCTTTTGGGGTCTGCCCTCTGGATGGGTGAGGAGGGACAGAGGACCTGCCAGTGCAGGTTTAGGAGCACTCCCTGGGATGGCTCTTCCCAGGTACAGCACCTAAACCAGGCTTTACAAACCCTCTGGTGCTTAAGCTTGGTCTTCTTCCACTATTTTAATTATGGGCCTAGGCACTGGAGGCACTGCTGCACAGGAAAGGACTTCCAGCAAAAACCCACCTAAAGATAAAATCCATCTCTGCAGGGGAGCTGCCAGAGCTGCTGGGCAGATCCTGGAACCTTCAGAGCACAGTCCCTGCTTCCTCTGGATGCAGCTGCAGGCAGTTACTGTGATTTACTTGAATTACAAGAATTAATTACTTTGTCTTAATAAGGGCACTTTTCTTAAGCTTCACCTTTTTACTGGGGCAGAAGGGAAACAATATTTGCTGGACCTCAGCTGAAAAGGATGTTGTTCCTTGAGCCAAGTGGGACTTTTTGCTGGTGTGAGGGTCACTGATGTGCAAGAACATTCCTGCCTCGTGAGCCTGGGACTGTGCTGTTACCTCTCTGCATCCCTCTGTGGAGGGCCCTGCTCTGTGCTTGCCTGGTACAGCCTTTGTCTTTTGTAGTTTTTTGCATCAATCCTGAGCTGCTTTTATATGGGAAGGTGGCACATCCTCCCTGTGCAAACAGAGAGGAGGCTGCTCCATTTCAGTGTGGACAGCTGGGATGTTTTAATTTGCTATTCCAGGCTCTTTCTGTGGTTTTCACATTGTATTTTCTGTTTGCTTTGTACCATGCAGTACAAAACTGCTCACTCTAGATCCCCTTCTTCTCATCACAATTTGTCCAGGGGATTTTAATTTATTTGATTTTTATATGGTTACTTTTTGTCTTGATTTGGAAAAAGGGGAATAATTTATTTCTAGTTATTTAAGTATTTTGATGGGACTCGTTTTCTCTGGATATAGGAGAAAGGAGTGCTCTGTTTCCTGTTCTTCACAGGGCTGCCTCATTTCACCAGGGGTCTCTGAACCCAGGGACAGCCCTGGCTGCTGCAAAATCCAATTTCAGCCTTCAGAGGGTTTCTCAGACTCTTCAAAAAAAAGTGTGTTGTCCTTTGACCCCTTTGTCTTGCTCTGGGCCACAGGCTTGACAAACTGTGTTTTCCCCCTGTTCTGGGAGAGAGAAGGGAGGAAAACTGGGCTGTAACTGCTGGATTGGGACAGCCACCAGCACTCTGTGTCCCTGTTTGAATCCTTGGGTACAGAGGGGTTGTGCTGTGCTCTGAGGAATGCAGCTGGAGGCTGGGTGCTGTCTGTCAGAGGGGTCTGTCCATGCTGAAAACTCTCCTTACACCCTGCCCTTCCTCAGCTGCCAGCCCCTGTGAGCTGCTGCTTCTTCCCTGGAGCTCAGGAGCTGTGAGGATTCCCAGCAGCCAGGATTTCCAGCTGGATGTGGGCATCCTTTTTGTGCAAAGCCCCTTTCCCCCCTGCCTTTGAGCTGGGATTGCTCCAACACCCCTTGTCTGGGATGCAGAGCAGGCACCACCAGACTGAATTTTTTTTTCCATAAAAGCAGCTTTTTCCCATAAAAGCTGTGCTGGTTTGGAGCCCCCAGCCCTTGGCTGATCCCTGGTGCTGAATGCAATGCATGGGCTGCAGGGATGGATGCTGCAGGAGGAATGTGGGATATTCCAGTGGGAATAACCTCTGGGTGGTGCAAGGGCAGAGTCCTGCCTCAGCAATGGGCATGTGCTCTGATTTCGGGGGGGTGTGGGGAGTTCTGTAGTGTTTAGTAGAGGAATGTTGCAGACTGATGCATGTCAATGTCTCTGGTAGTGGCAGCTTTGCTCTGTGAGTAGTTCTGCAGTAGCTTTAGTGTCAGGAGGGGAAAGGCAAAGCAGAGCTCAAGGGCTGAGGCTTCCAGGGTGGCTCAGAGGAAGCACAGAACTGGTGGGACCCTCGCTGGCCTCATGTGTCACTGCTCCTGCCATGGGGGCTGCTCCAGGCCACCTGCAGGGCTCCTTGGCACGGGCAGGGTCCACTCTGCTCCCCTGGCACCGAGGCAGAAGTCCCCGCAGTGCTGTCGCTGTGTTTTGTGGCAGCAGGCTCTGACCCCGGGGCTGAGGCAAAGGAAGAATCTGCAACAATCTGCCACCACGAGTGGGTGGCAAAGCTCAGCCCCGAGCTGAAAATGGGCATTAGGGACTGCCCTGACAGAGCTGAGCCTTTGGCCACAGTGCTGGAAGTGTCTGTGCCTGTCACACCCGGGGGTGTCTCAGATCCGTGCTCCAAGGGTGGTTACTCCTACAGGGACCTGTCTGGAGTGGGAACCCCTGGGAATTTTGGCTGTCTGGTGCAGTTGGAGCCAAGCCAGACACTGCCATCATTGCAGGCAGGCTTGGTGACAGCAGCCATGGCGTGTAAGAGCTGTGTGACAGTCCGTGGATGGTCTCACCTCCATGTGAGCCTGTTTGGTGGAGATAGGAAGGAGTTTTAGAGTAGTAGCATCACTGTAGTTAAATGCCAGTGCATGGTGGTTGTTAGTTGTGTTTAGAGGCACCCTCGGGGTGCTTGGAGCTGTGCAAGGACAAATGAAGTTCAAACCCTGCTCTGGAGCTTTCAGAGGCTCAACCCAACCCCTGCTGAGTGCATCCAGGCTGGATGGCTGATCCACAGGGGCTCTGTGGAGCAGGTTCTGCTCTCCAGACCTTGGACAGGAGATGATGGGAGGGCTCAGGGGTGGGTGATGCGCTGAGGACAGCGAGGTGTTGGCACTGAGAGTGCCCTGGGGAGCAGTGGCCTGTCACACACAGTCACCAGGGCAGCACTAATGCACTGTGCCACTCTTCCCTGCCTCTGCCACCCCTGCGTGGCAGCTCCCTGTCCCCTGGGGCAGAGCAGAGCTCGCTGCTCTGGGCAGGAGCTGCTTTTGTAACACCCATTGATTCTGTGTGTGTGCAGTGAATAAAAACACCATTCTACCTCTGGAAAGAGCCACTGTGATTTCTCAGACTCCAAAAGCCCTCAGACTTGCTGAGCTGAAGAAAGGAGGTCACCCAGAAAACGCTGCTCCAGTGAGGTTCTCTCAGGAGCTGAAGAGTCCAACTTCATTTCCTAGTGGGGCATTTCCTCCTTAGGCTGAGCCCTGGGAAGCTCAGTTCATCTCTGTCATTTTTTTTCCTCAGGAAAAAACATCCACTGTCTTCAGGGAAGGGTTTCACTGAAGTGAAGATATCAAGACCTGATCCATAGCCATGTGAGAAAGAGAATGCTCGAGCACAGGGCTGCCAGAAATCCTGATCTTCAGAAGGTCAGTGGAAACCAGAGGCCCTTGAGACCTCTTGTAGTCAGGCCATGCTTAGAAAAAGTTGTGTTCCAGCCAGGGCTGAACATCTTTCTGGAAAAGGGTCTCAGCAGCGAAGGGTAGGTTTAATACTGAATGTTTTCTGTGTTTTTTATTTTGGCCCACCACTCTCCCTCTGTCCTAGGCTGTTTTGAATTAATGCTGTGATAAAGCACATCTTCTCTTAGGTGATTTCTCATCTCCTGCTGCAGGAGATCAAAAATGGCAGCTGGCACATCTGGAGGGCTGGCTCAAACATGCTGTTTTACCCCCTGCTTCCTTGGGACAGCAGGCTGAATATCCCAGGAATAACCCTCAGGGTGCCAAGGGCATTTCAGGAGCCTGGACAAATGCTTGGGCACATCATGTTCCGGCTCAGCTTTGTGCTTCTGCCCTTTTGGGAGGAGTCAGGTTGGACTGAGCAAGGCCATTTGTTCCTCACAGCCATAAGCACCTCCTGCAGCCCTTTTAACTCGGGTTAGCTCTAAAAAATAATGATAAAAAGTTCTTAATCTTGCAGGACACACAGGAAAGGGGTAAGACTGATTCGCTACTAACTATGCAGTTGAAATCTCAAAGTGATGGAGGTGGAGGCACATCCACCCCCCTCGTTGTGGGTGGGTCAAACCCCACCCCAGCACAAAGTGTTGTCAGTACTCACTGTGTCTTTCCCACAGGGAATCACTTGCACTACAGCTGAATGTTTGTCTGTTCCCATTCTTTTGTCCTGGGTTTTCTTTGTGAACTGTATTTGGTCTTGTTCATTAGGCTTCTAGTGTAATGTGTGTTTTTAGAGCAATAAAACGCGGCAGCTTTTTATACAAAAGATCTGGCT